GCAAAAACTTATGAGGCTTCTTTCCAAAATACTTCTCACGTTCCCATGGCTCAGAGCCTTAAGACTCATTCTTTGTTATCTTCTCGAAAAGCCTCACAAACTAACAAACAATGAATGTGGCGGACGGAAAAAAACTAACGAAGAACATAAAAATACAATGTCTAAACCCTAGACTTAGTTATATAAAAGAAAAATTAAAAAATTATGAATGTGGCAATTAGGGTTTATCAAAACCGACTAATGAACATGGGCTATAAAAATATTTTGGTCCAAACCCAATTATTGTTTATGAACGATATAAGGCTCACGAAATTTCGATGGCATGAGGTGTAATTACCTTAATTTTATTAGGGATACCCCTGTAATCAACCACCCTCAAATTCATATATAATTATATAGATAAACAAGTGCATGGAATAACATTAATAAACTAAACTCAAACTAAACCCACAAGGTGCTTTAGGTTTGTTTTCAGTGTTTTTAGTATGTTCTAATAATTTGTATTTTCTACAGCATTTGTATTTTTATTCATTGTGTGTAAATTAGGATTTACTGGTTTTTTTTGTTTTTGGATAAATTGGCATATTAAAAATAAAATCACCAAAATTTTTAATTATTATATGGAAACCATCGTTCAAACAACCTATATTAGAAAGTAACATATTCAATTTTTATTTAATTGTTTTAAGTTTCTTCTAAAAACAAATGCCCTATCAAGAACTCTCCCAGACACGATCTTCGAGGTCACGCGGCGGCTAGTATGAGTTTCATCTGCGACCTTTCCGATGCCGGTGCTGCTCTCTCCACCTGAGTGGGATCACCGTTTCCCTCGCTCCGACAACGACTTTTCAGCCTCCGCGATGATTGTCCTCCCGCCTCCCTCCTCCTCCGCGCCGATAATCTCGGAAATGCTTACCCGCCTCGGAGATCGTAAGGGGAAGACCCCGCCGGCGTTGCTAACCTCTCCTCGCCGGCCGGAACCACCGGACCCCCCGGATCCACCGGATCCGCTGGTTCCACCTTCCCCACATCCATCACCGTCTTCCCTACCGTCCTCCCCTTCCCGCTCCCGGAGTTTCTCCCCTGCTGCTCCGTTCGATTCGCCGGACCTGCCTCTCCAGCCGTCTCTTCCCCCTACCTTTGCTCCCTTCCGATGACTTCAGTCGTACCCATTGGCCGGCGTGGCCGGTTGAAAGAAGATTCAAAGCCAGATCTAGCCTCCCTTGTCGGAGACGTGTACCGAATGAAGCTCCGCCGATCCTCCTTCCCTCCTCTGTCTTGGCTCAAACAGACCGGAGTTCGCTCCGGTAACACCGGAAAGCAGCCGGAGATGTCTTCCATAAACCCGACGGCTCCCTTGGCGAGAGGGAGAAGAATTGAGCTTGGCCCATGAGGTTGGTGTTTAAATTTGGGCCTTTAGGCCCAGCTGCAGTTTCAATTTCAATGATGTGGGCTTGGCCCAGTAAGAGTAGAATTTTTGGGCTAGTCAGATTAAGAGGCTCAGCAAACAGTGTAGATTTTCAAAAATTGCTTATGAGTTTGATGGTTTTTCATTTTTGAGAAAAACAAAGTTTTATAGATTCTCAAATCTTGTAGTTTTTATTGATTATATATCTTCTACTGTGAGAAGACACAAGTTTTATGGGTTCTCAAACCTTGTAATTTACTCCCGGTGGAAGAGTCTAATTCCACTTTCGGCTATCTCCTTGAGATTGGTCGTATCTCCTTCCCTCTTCTGGAGAATGGTCGTATCTCCGAGCATTATGCCGGGATCTTCAAAGTCACATTGGAAAGTGACTACCCTGAGACTCTCTAGCTTCGCCGCGAAGACCTCTTGACGCATCCGAGTCACGACTTGGATTCGCTGTCTATCTTCTACGATGATCTATCTGCTTTATGTTTTATCGCATTTCAATTGTGTTGTATTAATGATGGAGGATGCTTCATTCCCTCTTTTTGTACTCTGATGGTTTAAATGAATGAAAAGTTTGTTAACAAAAAAAAGAAAGTAACATATTCAAGCTTCTATCGTCTTCTTCATACACTAGTAACTAAAATTTGTACACACTGATTGATGGATTTTGTGTGAACCTAATTGCTTTCCAATCCAAAACAATTAGATGATAAATCATAGATAAACAAATTCCAAGAGAAAGAAAAAACTTGAAACCGTGGTCACTTTTCGCTCATCAGACAAGGATAAGATAGTCAATTTCAATCACCGATTAGTCTCACCGATTAGTAAATAAAAGATACGAACCCTAAACCTTAAAATGGCTTCTCCCTCCTTTGAAAACAAATTTTTTTTATCTTTTTAGCAGCAAAATATAATGCGCCCCTTCGATTGAATCACACGTGTGCATCGAGTGCCAATTTCTTGTTTGTTTGGTTTCGAACCAAACTACACTAGACCATTATCGAACCAAATCATCTACGTTCAATAAAATGCCAGTAGGGGTGGCCAAACTGGGTTTTGGATTGGATTTATTACGTTTTGGATTGGGTTTGAGTTATTTAGATTAAGAACTCTTGTACCAAATTCAATCCAATTAAA